CCGGCCCGAGCCAGTGCTGCAGGGGAGCAGCCCAGCTCGAGGAGGTGTGAAGCGCCTTCCGCAGGTTCAGCTCGTGTGAGCCAAGATTTTATTAGATTGTTGGTGCACTTGTTGGCACATCTGCAAATACACACTGAGCTGAGTGCCATAAAATGCAGAAATAAGCAGAAACATCTCTCTATTGAGGGAATGCTCTGTTTTCATTAGTTCTTGGCAGTGCTCTTTTTAAAGCACTTCCTATTTTTTCTGAATCTTTTTCATTCTTGCTGAGAAAAGGATTATGATATTTTACAGTGCAGTAATAAACTATTATTATTTATTAAATAAGAAGACCCTGTAAAAAATAAAAGGAGAATTCAATCCAGATGTTATCTATTGCAAGGGCATTGAAATTCCAGATGTTGGTAGTAAAATGTGGTCTCTAATTTGTGTTCTTAGGGACAGAAAACGCTCCTGGCTGAGTAACCTGGCCTTGCTCAGTGTGCCTGTGCTGTTTCACGGGCCTGTGCAGCCCTGGCACGTCTGCAAGCGGCTGCAGTATCTAGCTGTAGGGTTCAACTTTATTCCTCTGCTGAATGCACTTTTCTGCATTTTTATGGCTAAAAGCAAGATTGTAAGCAAATCAAGACGATGGTGTACGTGTTTTATGACGGCAATAAACCAGCGGCTGCGGAGCGGGCAGCTGCGCTCAGGCAGCGGAGTGAAGGGCTCGGGAGCCGTCCAGCGCAGGCGCTTGCACACGGATCACTGACCCGGAAGAAAACTAACGGCAGCATGTTTAGGGCTCTCCCATCCCCGACTGCCTGCCCTGTCCCCTGCGTGCTTCCTTTGGCAGCCTCACGCAAGGCTTTTTCCCGAGGTGCCGCAGCACGTTTGGCACTGCCGCCCGTGCCCCGCAGCCTGGAGGGATGCGGCGTCCTGCCCGCCCGGATCAGCCCGAGTGCTATTGCCCTCGCCCGTGGGGCTGCTTTTCCGGGCCTGGGCCACCACCTGCAGGCACCAGCGCTGCTGCAGGGGGAAGGTCGTTTCATCGCATCTGCCCTCCATGACGATGGCCTCTGTGCTCTGCAACCGTTCGGAAAATTTGACCTAGCCCAGATTTTTGGGCTTTATCTCCTGCCATTGGTCCTATAACTGCTCTGTTCAGGCTGTGCTGAAGAGGGAAAAGCAGGAAATCACCCAAAGAGTGCAAAAAAAGAAAAAGCAGGAGGGGACAGGGCTTGTTGTTCTGGACCTCTTTGGCCACGCGCCGGGAGCTGTGTTTGCAGTGTGGAGTCTGGAGAGCAGAGGCAGTTCAGACTTTCTCCAGACAGCCCCTTTGGAGCGTCGTTTCCTTTAAATTTCCAAAAAAGCAGATGTTATTTCTACGTGTCGTGCTGGAAATGTTAGGGCAGCTGGACACCTGAGAGCTTGCAGGTAGGGTGCGTTGTAGCTGCACAGTTAGCAGGGTCTGGACCGGTCCTGGGAGTTTTCCTGGGGGTCCCAGGACTCTGAGACCCCTAAGGCACTCCAAGCCAAGGCAGACCGAGCGCAGACCCGGCGGCGTGCGGCTGCAGCTGCAGCGGCCGTGAACCCCTGCTTCTCCCCGGCCGAGGGACAGCGGCACTCGGATTTCAGGGCAAGGTGGCTACGGGACAGATGTCTCTGTACAGTAATTGGAAAGTGCCAGTGGAGAACGCTGCCCCTGCAGGGCATCGCTCTTCAAAGCCCTCATGGGGCTGGGCAGGGACTCTGCCGGGGACCTGCAGCTCCTCAGGGGAATCGCCATCCTGCAGATCACACGGGGCGTCTTTTAAGTGGAAATGACTGTTTTTTCACAGCTGGCTGGAGCAGAAATAATTAGGCAGGGCCACAGCAATTGTTATCTTGTACCTGATTGCCAGAGTTCAGTCTGGCAGTCTGAATTACTTCATCCTGCCCTTCTGCTAAGCTTACATTTTCTTTTGCTAAAAAGCTGATAATGTTTGCTCTTCCCATCTAAAGGGATAGGGAAATCTGCATTCAGAGGAGCCGTTCTCGCACCTAAACAGACCTGCGGGAGTTTGCGGGCAAATAAATCACAGGAAAGGCCGTTAGTCCAAACAGAGAATATACAGAGGGTGGCAGACTGGGCCTGGGGGTGTCTGGGTACATGGCACCGGACCATCTTAAAGACCTTTTTTTGCCTGCATTTAACCCTTGTCTTTTTGGAAACTGCTCTAATTCATTCAGGAGGCGGGGCAGGCCGCTGGGAGGGGAAACACGGAGCCAGGTGGAAATGGCTGGGGCTCTCCGGTCATGCGCGGAGCATGGCAGGAGCGAGCTGGGCGTCCGCGGGGGGTTTCTGACACTCCTGTGAATCCCACGTTTTTAGCATTTGCGGTTCCCCCTTTGCACGTTGGCCAGGCTGGGCTGCTTCATTCACATCGCTGCGGTGACCAGCGCAGCGCTGTCCTTCCTCCGCGAGAGGCCTTTCGATGGCTGGGATGAATTCGGTGCCGATGGAGCAGCAAGAGACGATAGCCCCTCTGCCTCCCTGGGGCCTGCCGGGTGCGGAGGGGATGGGGCAGGGCTGCCCTGTCCCCTGCGCCCCCAGCCT